AGGGGTAGATAGGAAAGGATTAAAATATCGAGGCTTTAAGGGGGATATACATATATTGATCTGAGGATTAAGAGGATTTTCTCTTGATATCTCCATTCCTCCAGACCTTTCCATATTCCCCTTAATCCCGCAAAATCCCTCATTATCCGCTTTAACCCCTCCAGGTCCCCACGATTAAACCTTTAAAATAAAAGTAAAAAACTGCGTTGATCATAAGTCTGTAGGAGTGGAATTGATCAAAAATCTTCAGAGATGCACTCGGCATAATCACCTCGACAGTAATTATTCTCGATGCTACTGAGGTTTTTGGGTTAAATTTAAAAAATTAAAAGATTCTCAAACATTTTCTTAAACATTTTTTATTCACATTTTATTGAATTTTTTAAAATTAATTGATTTTTATTTTCTCTAATTTTTACATTAAACAAAGGCAAAAAAATTTTTAAAGAAAAAATTGATTTGGGCATCGAGAGGGGAAGAGAGGGGGGAAAAATCAATGGAAAATGTATTTTTAAAATTCGAGGATTTTTAAAAAAATTTAGGTTATCGATTTTGATAAAACAACAACTAATCAACTGTTGGGCTGATAAAAAATATTGTTTCGGAGCCTTGAGGAAACAATCTTTTGTCTGTCCGGCCGAATTTACTTACAAAATAGTTTGTAGTTATAACCCCATTTTTCCGAAATAAACAATTTAAAGTAAATTTTTAACTCAAAGTTTATTTTCTAACACTTAATTTCCTATAAATTACTCTCAATTTTCTTCAATCAATTTTAAACAATCACAAAAAATTTTATTTCACAGGAAAGCGTATAAAAATATATTTTATTGCGAAGTAGATTTTATTTAGAAGAATTTTATTAGAATGAAATTGTGTAAAGCTTTAAAACTGGGAAAGAACAATGAATAATGAATGAACTCCTTTTAACTATCCGCTGATAGATTTTATAGGAAATATGTTGGGAAAGTTTACAACGAAAGAATTTTAATAATAAACAAGTTTTTGTAAGCTTGGGAAAAATGAAATCGCATTTCGAAAATGCGACACTCCGGCCACAAGGTTAAAGTGAAGGAAATATAAGTCCATTAATTTGATGATGAGGTAGAAAAACAACAGAAAAGAAATTTGGATTAATAACAGGAATCAAAGAGATAGAAGGCAACTGAGGGATAACTCCAGTACAAGATTGAGAATAGGTAGAATGTGAACGTATAAGCGGGATATAATAGAATTTTATGTCGTTTAACGGTATCGGTTTTGTCACAATTTTGGTTTTTTCATTCATTGAATTTCTGGGAAATTTGGTCGACTCAACCCATTTTTTTCCACATTTCTTTTTCACTGTTATTCGATGCGTTCTGGCCTTATGGTTCGGGATTGTTTGAGCTTGTTCTTTCGGCGAACCAGATTCTTTCGGGGGTGAGGAAGTATGTGGGATATCCTTCACGTCCATTTCGGGTGGTTGTTGTTGTTGGTTGACAGTAGGTGATTGAGCGAGTGGATCAGGGTAGTCATTTTTTGTTGCAGTGGGAAGAGGGGACTTGACTGATGGCACATCACCTGGGGGGCCTGAAGATTCATTCTGTACTGTCCGAGTTGGCGTATTATCTGTGGGAACTGAAGTTTCTGGTTTTACCCTATTAATTTTCATAGCTTTCATTGCATTTGTTGGCGTGTGTATAGAATTAATTTCATTATTATTTCTTAATTTTGTATTTGCGGTAGTCGGTGAGTTACAGGAATTTGTTCTGGAATCGGGAGAGGGTAATTGGGTTTGATTGTTATCAAGCTGTGTACAATTTTTGATTGAATTATGGATTAATAATGGCTTGTCTGGTATTGGAAGGGACTTTATTCCTGGGTTAATCTCATTTAAAGTAACTAGTTCGGTCTTGGTTTCCATTGAATTATTGTGGGAGGTGGGAATGTTGAAATCTTCTGGAAATTTTATCAGGGATAAAGGGATAGGCCTTATAGAGGGAGTTGCATCAGATATCATCTGAGAACAGAAATTAGTTACATGCTGCGGGGGAGGTTCTTGTAGGGAATTGAATAGATTTGGACAAAGGGCACGGGGGTGTAAATTTCGACAATTAGTACACGTGATTGGGTTTTGACAGGATCTAGCGAGATGGTCAGGCTTATAACAATTAAAACATAGTTTCTTTTCTCGCAGTCGGGATTTTCGTGTTTGAAGGGTATTATAATTCGAACAGAGGTGGGAGAGGTGATTAGGGTGGTTGCAAAAAACACAGGGGAATCTAAACATCCCTGGTCTATTATTTGGCCTAGATGTGAAAAATGTTAAAGAGGATTGGGGCATATTATTCGAACGGAAATTTCCGACCTGCCTGAATTGTTTGGGAGAATTAGAGGGCCTGTCCGGGGTATTGAGTTCCTTCTTCTGGTCTCTAAGGGCTTTTACTCCTTCCTTTCTTTTCAATATTGACTTCAGTGTATTACGGAGTTGGTCTGTGTTCCAGTCTTGCCCATGAATTTCCTTTTCTCTGAACAATTCTTCCAAAATTTGAGGTGGCAATTTCGATTCAAGTTCCATCTGAACGGGCAGAGTATTTACATCAAAGTGTTGTTCAAGCATTTGTAAATAAAGCGATTCGAATTGGTCGACGAAAGCTCGTAATTCAGTACATAAAATTTCGGGACCGTTCACAGAGTGAACGACGGGTAATTTTCGGATTGCGTGGTGGAGAGTACGGTTAATTTCGTCTACATTTCCAAAGTTTTCATGTATTAGGCGAATTGCTTCATGGTAAGAAGCTTCTGTGAGGGGGAGTGACTTTACTAGTAGAAGAGGGGGCCCTTCCAAGCATTCCTTCAAATAATTAAATTTTACGGAGTCTGAAATGTTGGTGAGGTCGTGGACTCCAACGCGGAAGGCATTCCAAAAAGAGGTGAACTCCACGCATTTACCGCTAAATTTAGGAAGGGACAGTTTTGGGAGGTGGAAAAGAGTGTCGGTGGTCTGTGAGGGGTCGGGTAGTGCTGCGGACAATGCCCCTCTTTCAGAAAGGAGCCTACGATTATATTTCATTAATTTACGTAATGTGGTCGGATAAGGCACGACTGTGACAAATTCATCATAAATTGGGTTGTCCGCCAGTCTTTCAGCTCCAGTCATAGACGTTCTAGTGGCCATCCATCTGTCATTTTCATTAGTAATGTTGTCAAATAATTCAGTCACGATTTGGGATTCTGAGTCAAGGGAAGTAATAAGGGAGCGTATTTGTGCGTGAAATTGGGATATACTTCCAGTCTGCACTGGGAGAACAAAGGACTTGGGGTCTTCCAATAATTCCTCCGCTTCTTGAACGAGAAGCCGGATTTGGTTACGAAAGGGTGCCGACATTCTCACCGGCTGAGCTTTTCCGAAATAAACAATTTAAAGTAAATTTTTAACTCAAAGTTTATTTTCTAACACTTAATTTCCTATAAATTACTCTCAATTTTCTTCAATCAATTTTAAACAATCACAAAAAATTTTATTTCACAGGAAAGCGTATAAAAATATATTTTATTGCGAAGTAGATTTTATTTAGAAGAATTTTATTAGAATGAAATTGTGTAAAGCTTTAAAACTGGGAAAGAACAATGAATAATGAATGAACTCCTTTTAACTATCCGCTGATAGATTTTATAGGAAATATGTTGGGAAAGTTTACAACGAAAGAATTTTAATAATAAACAAGTTTTTGTAAGCTTGGGAAAAATGAAATCGCATTTCGAAAATGCGACACCATCTTTGACTTTAAAAACATAAAATTTTGTAAAGAAATATAAAAATACTAAACTATATTTTGAATTTATTTTTTAATGTTTGTTTTACTCGAATAAATCTATAAAAAAAAAAGAAATAAACGTGGCTATATTTTAAATAAATTTTAAAAATAAGTTTCTTTTCTAAAAAATATACATACCGTATTTGCTAAAATAATTACCCAGAGTAATTATTGTTTTAACCTCTCGCTGGTGGGGGTAGTCAAAAGGGTGGGAGTAATTATTTGAGCTTTTTAACAAAGGCTAATTATAACTATTTTTAAGAGGGGTAATTATTATTCCGATCTCTGGCTGTAGAGGCATTTAATAGGGTGGGGGTAATTATTTAAGAGAGGGACATTATTTCAGCATTTACGGTATCTTCAAAAAAAAAATTTTTTCATTTGTTGCCGTTATAAAAATAATTGTTATAGAATACCCAAAAATATTTTTATGATTTAAAAAATTCCTAGCCGCAATTAATTCTTACAATTTAAAGATAAAGTTTTGAAAAATTTTATTTAGGATTCTGACCTGACTTTTGAATAAAATTTTCAATAAAAAGGCAAAAAAAGTTTTAAAAACATTTAAAAATCAATGAAAAAAAATTTTTCTCTAAACAAAAACGTGTCAAAACTATCTAGTCAATATCTTCCCTCTATCCTCAACTCAATAAATATTTCTTAAATGCCCTTCCCTCCACTCTCTCTTTAAAAAAATTTTTTTTATTTAAAAAATCCCTCCCTTTCCAATCATGCCTCCCCTCCCCTCACCTCGCCTCCCCCCCCCCTCCCCTCCCCTCCCCTCACCTCATCCCACTTCCCGCCCATTCGCCACATCCCCCCTCACCTCATCCCCCCACATATATACACATGCCAGCTGCGCAAATTTGCCATTATTTAATTTTTTTATCAACTACCCCTCTTCATTTTATAATTTTTAATTGCCCTTTCTTTCAATTGCCTTTAAATTTAAAAACAAATTAAGAAATTTAAATTTTACTGAGCGCCAAAATAATTTTATAGGGGAGGAAACACAAATTTTAATTTCTTGTGAGTAGAAAAATTGTTACTGTATTCAATAACTATACAGCTACATTTATTATAAAATTCCCCTTGGGGCCGAAAATTGAGAGGTATCGTAAATAGAAGGTACCGCTTAGAGGGCCCTTTATTTAATAGGCCATATATTTCAAATTTGGGGTATCTAGTATTTTCTCCATTTTTTAGAATGTTTGGAAGAAGAATTTTAATTCTTCTCCATTTCTCAATTCTTCCGTTTTGCTTTGCGAGTGAAGGCAAACATTTGGCAAAACATCTCTTCTCTGGTATTTTGAAAAATTTTTAAATAATTTTTTTTGAAAAAATCTTTCCCAAACAGATGAGGAAATTCAAGAAGATGTCAAGGCTGTAGATTTAGTAATTCAAGCACCTTGGGTAGAACAAAACACTTTAGGTGTTCAAAGAATGGAAACTAAGAGAGAAAGTAATCGCCTTACTGATGCGCAGAAAGCTTTGTTCGATCGCCATTGGGAATTGGAAACTATACAGGCAAATGATTTTTAGAGTCCGCCCCTGAACAGATGCGGGAATTCAAGAAGACTCTTTAACGAGCCCACAAAGGAGACCCTTCAACGAGCCTACAACCTTTTGACCAACAGAATTCTTTACCTTTTATCTCTTTAAAAGTTTAATCGTAGGGATCTGGAGGGGTTAAAAGGAAATTGGGCTAATTGAGAATGTGGAACAGGGTAACCCTTTCCAAATCACCAAAAGAGGGCAAGGCATCTCAAAAATGGAGCAAAGACGATACAGAATAAAAATTTTGATTTTTTCAGTTAGTAAAGCCAGAAGCTCCAAAACAAGTTGATTTGGAATTGTTGGCCGAAGCTTTGGATATTGTTGTGGAAATGAATCCAAATGAAAAAGAAGTTGTGATTAGAATGGATAAATTGAATGAATGGGCAAAGGAAGAGAAGGATGACAACAAAAACAAACAAGAATTGGATTTAAATCTGACAAAATCGGATGAGAAGGAAGCAAAGGTGGAAGATATGACGGTAAACAAAAATAGAAAGTCAACTCTCGATAATATTTATGCCCCTTTAAACGAGCCTCTCAAACCAACAAACTTTTTTCTTCTGTCCCTTTGAATTTTTTATATCGAGATTCGACTATTTAAATTTTAAATAGAGTAAAAGTAAAAGATATGTATGAGTTTAGACAGAAGAATTTAAAGAGATATAAATGTGTTAATAAAAAATAAAATTATTTAAATAAAAGTTTCAGAAAACAAATGAAATAATAAAAATCCGAAGCTCAATTTTCTGCAACGCAAGTATCCGCGCCGCAAAGTTAAGCTAACTAATCGAATTTAAATTGAAATAAAATTCCAAAAAGGGAAAAGATTAAAGAGTCTAAAGAGCTACCCCCTAACATTCCCCCCAAATTTCTGAGTAAAGTTAAAAAAAGTACAGTAACCCTTTACTACCAAAAATGTTTTTAAATATTTTAAATATTCTTTTTCAGCTTTCACAGCTTTTAAAATTGGACATGGAAGAAAACAAAGAAGAAGAAGAAAGTAAAGATGAAGAAAAAGAAGAAAAACAATGTTCAGAACAAGACAAACAAAAGTTTTTATTAAATAAGTCAATCGAATCCCCAATTCAACAACAAAACAGAACCGAAACAATTTTTGAAAAGATTAATGGGATTTCTGGAAATTGGTGGCATTTTGCGGAAAACAAACAACCAATGGAAGTTAACACAACTGAAAATAAGGAAGATAAACCTTTTGGTATTTTTGGTGGAGAGAAAGAAGATGTAGGAGAAAACGAAGAAAAAGAGAAAAAAGTGAGTGAATTTATGTGGGGGGGGGGGGGGGTTATTGGGTTATTTTGGGCCAGTTCTGAATTTTGTAGAATAATATAGTGAGGAATTCAAAAATCTTTAAATAAAAAAATTTTTTATTCTGCAAAATTTTAGGAAGAGCGATTACAAGAGTCCAATGAAAATGAAGTTTTTGCCCAAATTCAAAAAGGGAAAGAGCTTAGAGCCGAAAGGCCTTCAGAAATGGTTGTTGTTGATATGAATTCGGATGAAGATGATTCTGATGTTGAGAGTAGTGAAGAGGGTAAAATTGAGGATAAAAAGGAAGCAGAGATTGAAGAAAAAGAAGAGCCAATGATGGAAATTGTTGAGGTAAGTAAAGTGTATTTTTAGTGGAATCTTTATAACAACTTGGATATTATGTAGTTTTTATGGCTTTACAAAATGTGGAATCTGACATAGAGACTAGAGATCGAGATTTTTGAAAAGCCTGAACCTGTTCCTGGACTCTGGGTTTGATTTCTTGAACTGGAATGGATCCTGGGCCTGTAGTCCAGGAAAAACCCAGGTCCAGGAAAACCCTAGGAAGGTAAAAAAATGCCTGGACCTGGACTCTGGGTACAGGAAAAACCCAGGTGATCTAATGATCCACCTTCTCCCCTTCTAGATATTCCTATTCGAAATATCTGAAAGGGGAGGAGGGGGTTATAAGATCAATTCTAACTGTTTAATCAGATTGTTGATCTGAACAAAGAGAACGATGATGAGGATAATGATGACGATAATGATGACGAAGACGATAATTCTTCAACATCATCTGAAGAAAAAATTGAGGAAGAAAAAAGTACTGGAATATTTAGTGTTTTAACTAATTTGTTGTTTGGTGGTGGTCGTTTTAAAAGAGAAGCTTTTCCTTTCCCAGCAATTCCAAATTCAACAAAAATTGTTGAACAATCTGACGTAAATTCTGGAGATAATATTGAAAAGATAAAAATAGTTAAAAGCTTTTCTGGACGTGTAAAAATGGGAGACAAAAATGTTGAATTTTCTGGTTCAAAATTGGAAATTACTAAAGATTTGGGCAAGGAAGAAGAGAAGAATGAAGAAGAAAAAAGAGAAGAGTTTTTAAGAGAAATTTTTGGTAAGAATTGGGAGAGAGTAATTAAATATTCTTTTACGGCAAAAATACCGTAAGAAAGGCCGATATATATTCCCTCCCTCCCCCCCCCCCAGTCCGCGTTTTAGTGAATGTACGAAATGGTCAGTACATCATCCTCAAAATTAGAGATACTCTCCCATTTAAAATACTTTTTAAAAAATGGTCTCTGGGTGAGGTAGCTGCCCAAGCGACCCTTTTTATTTAAGATAACTTATTATAAGGTATAATTTTTCAATCACGTTGTATTAAATTTTAAAGGATATTACCAAATTAAAAAAAAGACTGTTCGAATTAACAATGGTCCTTGTAAACTTCTCCAGCCTCCTTACTTTTTAGGTCTAAAATCACAAGTTTACCCCTAAATAATCCCCCCCCTCTCCTCATACTTCATTATCTAACAATAAATAATCATCCAGATAATGACAAAAAGATTGAAGACTTAAAAGAAGAAGAAAACAAGATTGTTGAAAAAATGGAAGAATTAATTTCTGAGGAAAAGAAAATGGAAGAGGAAAATGAAAAAACAAAAAATGTGGGTGAAAAAGAAAATATTAAATTAACTGAAAAAGCTAAAATAGCCAAATATCTAACAGAAATGTTAACAAAAACATCTGAGGACCGTCCAAAACGAGATGAGAAAATTGCTTATGTTTGGTATTGTGAATTGCAATATTGGGTAGCAAAGTTTGTTGAAAAAGAATTTTCGTTGAAAGACAACAAAAATGATAGTGGAAATGTTGGGAAAGTACTTGATGAAATGGATGTTATTGTTGAGGAATTTGAATATATTCGTTCGATTTGGGGAAAAATTTTGGGAAAATTAGCTGAATTGACTGACTTTATTGGAAAGGAGTTTAAACGACGAAAGTAAAGAAAAAATGAAGAGATGAGTGAAGAAAACGAGAAAGAAGAAATGTAAAGAGAAGAGAAGAGAGAGGAATTTTGAACTTTTTATGCCCTTTTAACTTTTCTCTCACAATTTCCCCTTTTTATCATTTAAATCAATCACAAAGGTTTAGGTTTGTGAGGATCTGTCCAAGGCTGCAAATTTTCCAAAACACAAGACAAAAATTTTACAAGAACCCAAGAAGTCTTAAGACAACCCAAAAATTTTGTTATTTACCGCGATTAACCCTCTTTGATTGGTGTCAGAGGTAGAAAGGGAAATCTTGGAGGAGAAAGGAGAAATAGGAGCCATAAATAAGGTTGGCGGTTCCGGATAACCAAGGATCTCCAGTAACCGCCAACCATATTTATAAAGTTCATGACATGTTGTCGAGATTATTTTTTTAAATCTTTTTTTATTCGACATTCCATTTTTTTATCATTTTTTCGGTTTGTACATACACCCCCCCCCATACACAAATTAGCAACTAGAAAAACCAGCACAAACATGTAAAATCAAGTAATTTTAAAAAATATACATTTCATCCCATTTTTGGGATGAAATGACATTTAAGCTAACATATAAAGGATTGAGAAAATGGAACACAAAAATTACTTGATTACGTAAATTTGTACATATTTTTTTTGTTTGTTGCTTTTCACATTTATTTAAGTAAATCCCCCCAAAAAAACTTTTTTTATTATTTATCAAATTTTTTCTAAAAACGTAAAAAATTGTTTACAAAAATTTTTAAAAATTATTTTTAAGTATTTGCTAAAAGGTATTAAATCATTTTTTATATTTTAATGGCCAGGAGGTAGTCCCATTCCTCCCATACCTGGGTGATGTTGTTGTTGGGCTGCTTGTTGATCTGAAAAAGAAAATTAAAGTAAGAATTAAACAATTTAAAAATATTTATTTGAAGAGAGATAGAGAGAACTTTGATTCTTTTTGAAAATATGCAAATAAGCACGAAGGTGCAGATATATGCAAAAAAATAGAATAAGCTTTTCGATAAGCTCTTCGGAGGCTTTTCGGTTTTCTATAAGCTTTTTGGATTTCTCATTTTAAGGCATATCCGCCATTTAGGACCCGACATTTGGGGATGTTAGAGATAACTTTATCTGAAACGGATGTAAAAGGGTATTTTTAATTTTAAACAAAAAATAAGCTTTAAAATAGGCTCATTTTAAAACAAATAACATCAAAATTAGCCCATTTTTGAAAAGTTTTATTAAATTTTCCCAGACAAATTCATACGAAGTGCGAGCCTGTTTTTGCAAAAGTAAATCCCTTTGTACATATATCCTTTTTTCAATAACTTTATGCTCAATTTAATGCAAATTATCCTCAAAAAATAAAAAGATGTCCCCAATAAAAAGAAATATACAAAAGAAATATGTAGAAATTACTATCATGAAATTAAAAATCCCAAAGAAGGAAAAAATAAAATAATTTTTCTCCCCAAAAAATACTCTTCATCCTCTCTCTTTTTTCTCTTATAAATTTAGGAAAACTTTTTTTTTCTCTTTTTTAAATTCACTTTGTTTCCTTTGCAGTAGAGTTTGACGTATTTGTTTTTTAGTATCAGTTGTAGGTTGTTGTTGTGATTGTAGATTAACCTGCTGCTGTTGTTGTTGTATTCCTCCTCCAATTCCACTTATCCCAGGCATTTGTTGTTGTTGATTAAATTGTTGTTGATTATTTCTATTTTGTTGGGAAATTGGTGAATGATATTGTGGTGGTGGAGGTTGGGGCTGTTGTTGTTGTTGAGGAGGAGGAGGAAGTTGCACTCGAAATTGAGGGGGTGGTTGTTGCATTGTTTGTTGTTGATTATTATAAATCATATATGGGGGTGGTAAAGGTCCAGACCTTGAAATAAAAAAAATTTTTTCGTTTGTTTAAAAAATAAATTAGAAGATTATAGTGAATTAAAAAAATATTTTTTAATTTCCTCCAAAATCCCCAAAATAATAATTCGTCTCCATAATCATATATCACTTCTATTTTCGGTCGCTTTGATGTTTACAAATGATTTCCTTCAAGGTCCCCAGCATATATGTAATTAGTAGGGTTTCATCGGAAGTTCCGGTCAAAATTTCGGTTCCGGCGAAACCCTACTAATTAGATAGGGCTATAGGGCTCCGATTTTACTATTAATTTTTAAATATGGCAAAACTCCCAACATTTGAGGCTGGCCAATATTTCCTTGTTGTGGTGGTGGTTGCATTTGTTGTTGCTGTCTTTGTTGCATTTGTTGCTGCCAATGAATTTGTTGTTGTTGTTGAGCCATAATTGCTGCATGTGTTGTCATACTCATTTGTGTAGGTTGACCCATACCTCCTCTTTGTGTAACCATTCCTGGTGATGGACCAGCTCCACCAGTTGCTGCAAACATATCCATTCCCATACCCCCCATCATTTGATTGGCCATTTGTTGTTTTTCTTTCTTTTTCTTTTGGCCTCTTAAAAAATTTTTAAATAAAAATGGGACCACCAAAAGTCAATTTACCTTCCGACACCTGACGGATTTGTTCCAACCATTTTACGTCTACCCCTTCCGCCTCCAGTTCTAGGAGAATCTGTCACGTTTGTTGGGGTATTTGAACCAGAACTACGAACACCTTGTGATTGTTGTAGTAAATTTAAAATAGGTTGTTGTGGAGGGAATGGGTTTTGTTGAAGGCCAGAAGGACCAGGCTCTCCCATTATTGCACCAGGTGGAATTGAACCCGTCATTGACATCATATGTTGGTGTTGGAACATTTGCTGTTGTTTTTGGTGTTGATGGAATTGATGTTGTTGAGATGGAGTTGGTTGCATCATTCCTTTAATTTGAGAAAGTTAAGAATGGGAGAAAAGAGAATTTTTTAAAAGATTTTCTAAATTTTATTTGAGTCACTTTCCAGCTATTTTATCTCGAACTTTATCAGAAAAACATCTATTAACTGATTTTTAAATTCCCAAACCTCGTCGATTGTGGTATCATTTGACTTATCCCAATAAGATATGTTCGATCATGAATTTTAATTATCGATATGTACTTATTTAACAAAGTTATATCGATAAAGTTGGCTAGAGTTTAATTAATCTACACTCCTACTATATTGTAATTTTCTTTCTACTATAGAAAAAAGCCTAAATATGTAAATATCCTTTTATACAAAATTACCAGGATGTATTTGCACATTCTGTTGTTGGGCAATCATTCTTTGTTCCATTTTTATTTGTTGTTGTTGTTGATTCTGATATGATGCCAAACGCATCTGTTGTAATTGTTGTTGTTGTTGATCAGTTTCCATCTAAAATTAAGAAAAAAAATTTTTAATAAAAATATCCCAAAGATTTAGTACTTTAAATTGTTGTTCAGTTGTTGGTGGATGTTGCTGTGTTGGAATCATTCTTTGTTGTTGTGGGGGCTGTTGTGGTTGTTGGACTGCCATTATATTTTGTTGATAAGATTGTTGTTGTTGCTGCTTTAAAGAAAAATATTTTCAAATTAAAAATTTCATTTATTTTTTATTACTTGTTCTTCTTGTCGCTCATTTGGAGGTTTACAAATATAAACTTGTTCCATTTCTGGGGGTGCCAAAAACGGATCAGCACCCATCCTTTCTTCTCCAACAATTCCAGGACGAGGAATGAATGAAATAATTTGTTCTCCATTTGGACCAATTTGTCGTTGCATCCAATGCTCGTGTTTAAGCATTCGCAAAATCTTTAAAAATTTTTTATTGTAATAGAGATGTCCATGACAAAAAATTTCCAAAAGAATTTATTATGGACCTTTTTATGAATGGGAACTTGTTGTTTATCAATCACAATTCCTTGGAATTGAGGCTTTGCAACAGGAAGATTTGGCTGTGTTTGTTGTTGACTAGGTTGGGATGTATTTGTACTTCCTTTAGTTGTTGTTGCTGTTCCTTGTGCAATAAGTTTATTATGTGGAATTGAGTTGGAGAAACTATCCCAAGCTGTTAATTCTGCTTGAGACTTTGGTACAGGTAGAAGTTGTTGTAAAGAGTATAGTTCATCGGGAATACGAAAATTCTAAATAAAAAGGTGGTAAGATTATTATAATATTTACAATTGGAAAAAAATTGATGTCTAGATAAGTGTGCATAATTACTGGTAGACTTGGCCACGAACATGGACTTAGGTAACCATGAAACCAAACTCGCATCCACTTATATTCGTCCGATTTCTAGTTCAATCTCCCTGTATTCGCGGATATTGTCTGTATCCTCTAGTTTTCGGAAACATTTTCACAGATTTCTCTAATTACTCCCATATTCTCACCAATTTTTCATATTTTTTAAAATTTCCTAAGAAGAATTTCACCAACTAAACGAAGTTTTCAGTTCATTGGAAGTAACCGTCTGTCTTTATTCACAACAAAAATTAAAATAAAAATTACCTTAAATTTGCTAACAAAAGTGCTATATGTTTTATGTGGATACATTTTATGTACAAGCATTAAAAGCATATCCATACAAGTATTAAAATATAGTGTATCACGTTCATAACTACAAAAAATAAATTTTTAAACAAAATTAATATTCTTTTACGTTAATATTTCGAAATAAAGAAGTTGGAAAATTGCAGACGCCCAAAATTCTGCATTGCTGTTTGTTGTTAAAGTATCAAAAAGTCCAACAATTAAATTTAGGCGTAAAATGATTCCATCACGTTCAGAGAGAAAGAAACTTTGGTGTGGGATTATTGGATTCTGAAAATAATTTTTCGGAAAAAATTTTTTTGGGTTACATGGAGAGAAGGTGGAGGAGATGTAAATTAAATATACCGTATTGTCTCTAATACAAACCCTGGGCGTCTATATTTCAATACCCCCTCATTAACTGGGCTTCTAATAGGGCATGGGCTTCTATTGGAGATGGGCTTCTATTAGAAACAATACGGTAACTCATCATTACTTTTCTAACTCGAGCAACAACATCATCCAAATAATCCAAAAGAGTATCAACTAATTGTTTAACATCCTCTCCTTCTGTACAAGCCATTACCTTAAAAAATATTTTTACAAAAGGCCTTCAATTTTTCTCACCAAATTAAGAAAAGGTTGATAAGCAAGTAATTGTTCATATTTTAATTGTTCTATATTTTCTGATTGTTCTAAAAATCAAAAATAATTTTTATAAAAATTTAATAACAAAAACTATTTTTTGAATCCTTTTCAGGCAAAGTTTTCAAATTTTCTGCCACTACTTTTGAAATGTATGCTTTCATTGCTGAACCAATCCATGGACACCAATGAGGATTTTGTGAGCTCATTCCTGTTGGAGGTGGTGGGCTTGGCATAGCAGTGACTAAAGAAGCTATTTGCCAAAAACAGTTAATTCCTGAGGGGCGAAAGTCGTCTATATCCATCTAAAAATTTTTTAATTAATGTCCAAAATAGCTCAACAAGTTTTTCAATTTTAGGACGCTGTGACACACCTTTTCCTCATTTTGTTTATTATCCTTTAGAATCAATCTTGAAACAAAAAGTTGATGAATAGCCGTGGCTATATTGTTAAACAAAAACATTGTCATCTGATAATGATTAGCTAATTGTTGATTTCCATTGCCTAATTTGGACATTTGACTTTCCGGGAAAGTCTAAAAGAAAAAAATTATTTTAAAATAAAAAAACAATTGAGGACTTCATTAATTATTAATTTAAAATCAAAATAAGTAGCTCTCATATTCCATATAGAAAGTGCAGAAAGTAATTTTTCGTAAATTGTTTTGTCTGTACATTCCATTAATTCTTGCTTTATATCTCTTTCACTAAAGAATAAATTATTAAAAAATTTTCAAAAATAGATTACAGTCAAAACTAGTATTTAAATATCCCAAGAGGCTATTTTTAACATATGATAGGTTTTTCGAATTTTGGTTGACTAATGGCCTAAAGGTTCAATTGTATTAATCATATTACCTTTTCCTTCTAAGAGCAACCCTTAAAAGTTGTTGACCAACAGAATGATTTTTAAGTCGAGGACAATTAATAAAATTATCCATATCCTTATCAGAAGAGCAAATAGCATGCATTCTCTCTATTACCCAATCTTGATCACAAATACTTAAAAGTGCACAACGGGCAATTGCTAGTTGTTTAGAAAATTTTCGATGATTTGTCTAAAATAAAAGACCACGTATAAATCATTTACTTTATCCTTCAAAAGACCCTCCTCCTTACCGCATCTTTTCTGCTAGCTTCAACCTTTCTTTTTAGTTCATCCACTAATTGCATTACAACAGAAAGTAGAGGGAACAAAACAAAATTTAATTCAGTAATATGAGCAATTTTTAACGCCACTTGATTGCAATCTCTTCGAAGTGTAGATGATGTAATAACACGTTGTCCAAGATCATTGCCTGTTTTTTTTAAATTAAAGAATATATCTTTTTACAAAAACAAACAAATAAAAGGCATATCATCTCCACAAAAAAGAACAGAACAAATACACAAAGCCAAACAAAATCCATTATCCAAGTCATCATTAGCAAAACCCCCTTCTTCTCTTATAATAGAATAGAATACATTAGCAATAAGCCTGCATATAAGAGCGTGAGGTGAAAAAGCATATTTAGAGGCTAATAGAAGTACAAAAGTTGCTAATGAGTAATGAGTGGAAAAGTCATTTACCTAAAAATTTTAACAAATAAATTTATAAAAAAATAAAGAAAATTAGGCCCTAGTCTAGTTTAAAAGCCCATTGTAAGTCTGAGAAAACTCTTTAAAAAATTCCCTCCCCCCCCCCCTCCAAAAATCTCAGAAAATTTTCTCTAACATTAATCTCAAAAAGCATCTCATTCCAATTACTATTGTTTGAAACATTTGAACAACAAAGTTCTTGAATAGCACTACACCATTCAGTTTCAAGCCCTAATTGAGTTGATACATGTCCACAAAAATTTGATAATTCAACCAAACGTTCATAATCTCGACCATAAGAATTAGCAGCGCGAAAGGCGTTAACAACAAAACTAAAAAACAAAATTTTCAACCCTCTTTTTGAAAGAAAAATTTTTAAAGGCAAAGCTTTGTATTTTCCCAATTCCGAAAATCGAATTCTGCGGTTCCGATTCTAAGCAGTTTCGATTTTTTGACGGTTCAGCGAACCGACTTCGTGTAAATTAAACTACTAGTTGTTGAAAAATTCAAACAAACCTATATTTTGAATGTTCATTTTGCATTGTTTGGAGACGCATTTTTAAATCCACATATGATAAGAATCGACTTAAAAATTCAGAAATTAGAAAAAAAACTTTAGAAAATTCACAAATTATTTGAAGAAGATAAATTAAGCTGATCAACCATTAATTGTTGATCATATTTTAAATTTCTTGCTAAAGAACCAGAACCAGCCGAAGGAAAGAGTGCAGTCAAATCTTCATATTTTCCAAGTAAATTTATTTTTGTTATTTTTCCTTCTTCTTCTCCAACTCCAATTAATTTATTTCTTGTATGTAATAAAAATATTGCTATAGTTCTTGACCAACAAGTAATGGGGAAATTTTGACGTGATAATTCCAAATCATTTTGGATTAATTTAAATAAACTGTTGTAAATTGAACAAGCTTCCGGAGAGTAAAGAAAGTAATAAAAATGTTCAGCCAAACGGACAACAATTACATAAGCAAGCTAAAAAAATATTTTAATAGGTGAATTAGGTAAAAATTAGATAAATATGTCTAATTTGTAAGTGAGAGAAAAACGGTCGGAATCGAACTGGAAAACCGATCTTATCAATTCGGTCTCAAATACCCGAGATTTTCCTAAAACTAATAAACCTAATCATAACAAAAAAATAAAGGTGCTGGTTAAAAATGTTTTTAAGACCTTCAAACTTAAATTTGTAAAATGTCTTGGTAAAGACATTTTTTGGAAAATACCAGAAAAGTTAAAGCAATTTAAATTACCTGACAAGTAAGAGAATTTGGAATTGTATCGAAGATAATTTTTTGATTAGATCGCTGAAATTCTTGCTCAATTTGAATAAGAAAAGGTAAAAGTTCGGCAGAAAGACTCAACAAACTATGTGGATTTTTACAAATCTAAAAAATAAATTAAAAATTAAAGTTGGCCTCGACAATTTAAAAAACAATTTAGAATAATACATAAAATTAAAAATTCCTTTCAAGCCCAAACAGGAAAGAAACATTCTCATAGTAATTTATTTTTAAAAATTAAAAAAAACCATAATCATTTCACAAAGAAGATCCAAACATTCAGAAGTTGGAAACGGAGATAAGACTGTTTGTTGTTCAGTCAGTTGACGTAGAAACTCTTCAATGGAATCAACAAAATTTTCTGTACACCAACCACAAATTATTAATTGATCAAAATATGTTTGGGATTTAAATTTATCCATTTGTTCAGCAATTTGTTCGTTTGTACATTTTCTTTTATAACGAAGTTCTCTAGTTGGGGAGTCTGGAGAAGTTTGGACAAATTCGACGCTTAAACGTTTCTTTAAAAAAATAAATTTTAATAAAAAAATTTTTAAAATTAAAATACCCATAATTTGCATATTTCTCTAGCAATTTTACGTAAATCTTGTCTAACTTGATCCCTTCGATCAGAAATTCCATATAAAACAATTGCTCTCTGATTACAAGCATCTCTATTTGATTCTAATTGTTCGACAGGTAAATGAAGAAGGAAACGTTCATGAAAACTAAAATAAATAAAATTAAGAATTAGTAATTCAACTTTAAAACAATCCCAGACAACAAGACATTTTTTTTAAAAGATATTCAAAATTTTGAAAGATGATACCTTAACTAGGTGATAGAGGTTTTGATATCTTATTAAATTCGAAATATTAGTGTAAATACAAAAAAAATATTAAAAAGAATAATTCTGTAAGACTATTAGAGCCGAAGAAGGTCATTTAACAAAAATGGAAAAAAAACTATTTCATCACTTAAACGACAAAAAATAAACACCTTAATTTTGATTTTATATCCAAATGAGGATGAACATCAGGTTCGTATTCTTGTTGAAGTTTCGCAAATTCATCAGATTTTTGTTGATTCTGTTGAGGGGTAGAACCACTAAATGGATTAGTATTGACAGTTGTTGACACAGATGGAGTTGTTGGAATAAATGAAATAATCATTTGTGGTTCCTTAAAAATAATTAAATTTAAAATAATTTTCATAAAAAACCTGCTTAACAGGAACCAAATCGACAGATTGCCGTTTTGAAGAATTTTGTTGTTCAACACGTTCAGGTTGATTTTCGGAAGTTTCGTTCGCCTTCAGACGTTGGTATAACGGCGATTGGCCCAATGTCCCATTTCTCATTAAAGCACGAACATATCTATCGTGATCGAAAATCCCAACACGTTGTAATTCGTAAAATAACAACATTAAATTTCCAAATTCCACATTCCAACGCCCATCATTTCCTTCTTCAGTTTTGTTTTTATTTCGTTCATTACATGCCCAATCTCGATTTAAACAATCAACCAATAATGAATGGATTGATTTGAGTGAACCAAATTTATTTTCAGATTTGGAAAGAAGCAAAAGTAATTTAGTGACAAGTAAAGAACGATAAGTTCCTGATCTTTCAGCAGTAACAGCCCAGAGAACAAGAATTCTGACACGAATATTGATTCCAACGGACTCATTTAAATCCTATAATTAAAATATGAAAAATATGATCAAATTTTTATTATAGGCCAGATGTTTGCGAGTAACGAAATGACTGGTAAATAGAAAGAGATGCCAACATCAACGTTAATCTGATCGTTAGAATAAAAGAAGACCGAATAGGTTTTCCCATTTCGCCCTTTCGGAGAGTGCCCTAGCCCCCTTGGGTCCCTTGGTATATATTCGGATTTTGCACATCAAAAATCAAATAAAATTAACCTCATCTTTAGGAAAAATATTTTCATAAAGTATATGAAGAGCATTAGGTTTATCCAACGGAATTGTATCCAAAAATGATATAATATTTAAACATTCCTCGATTATAACATCTAAATAATTTATAAATTTTTATTAAATAAAGCTTAAAAAACCTATTCCAAATTGTGAATTCGAAGGGTTAATAAACGCCCAACGGTCTTCTACAGCTGAACTTCTCATTTTAATTTCGTCTACTTTTTTATTCAACAAATCCAATATTTTATCTTTAAATGATCCAGAAAAGTGTTGACAAGTGACTTCAATTTTACAAGGGAGATAATCGAGTGGTGAACCACAAAGCTGAAAAAAATATTAAAATTTAAACGAAAATAAAAAGAATAATTACCCAAACAACACTTTGCAAAGCATTTTCTTTTTCAACTGCACGAGAAAGTTTAGAACTTTTAAGACTTCCTTCCAATAATTCTTGAGGGTCGAATGGCGTCCAAATTAAAGCAGAAGGACAATCGAGAATAATAGCATGAAGAAAGCCAAAAATTACAAGTAAAGTAGGCCTGTGATGTTGACAATTGGATAAATCATCGAAGCAAGTTTCAGGAGCAATGGGCGATAAATTTTGACTAGAAAATAAAAGAGGGAGTTTCTTATAATAAAAAATTTATTGTTACAAGTTCATTCTGTAAACTCACTGTCAGATATATAATGGCTAAAAAGGCCATCAGTTCACTATCTCAAACCCTAGGCATACCTTAATGTTAGAAGTCCCGTAAACGAAAAGAACCCAAAACGTACCCAAAGTAAAATTGAACGGGAGAATTTAAAAAATATATTAAACAACCTTCTCATTTTTTCATAATCTTTTCTGTACTGCATTAATCGAGAGCAAAGAATACTTGCCACACGACGGGCTATAAATACATTTTGTACAACAATATCAGTAAATTGAGTCATTAATATAATTAAAATGCGAAATGTTTGAGGCTGATCCAATGAAAAATTAGAAAATTCTGCAAGCAATTCACACATATCTAATACAAATTCATGACGATCTAGCATTCCATCCTAAATTTAAAAAAAATAAAACTTAACAAATAAAACAAAAAAAACCTCAAATGAATGTTTAATTAAAGCTGCATAATAAGGCCAACGTTGATAATAAGGATTCTGTTCAAGTTGGCCAGGTATTGCTTTGTCAAATTCACGAAGTAGGCAACGCAAATAACGAATAAAAAATTGACGTTGATCTAAAAATTGTTTTAAACTAGAAATTATTATTAAAAAATTAATAGATTTACCACTAGAATAATCATCACTAGGTAATGTATTTCCACCTTTCTTCTGTTTGCTAGCAGTTACCAAAATTGGATGAGCAACTTGATTCTTAAAAAATAAATTAAATTTTTAATTGAAATATATCAAATTAGTCTAGATTTTTTAATTTTAAATTTTCGCAGATAATAACCTTGATAACTTTTACAGGATCTAATAAAGCTAGAAAGGCTTTAGTGCAGATAATTCTGCTTCAGCAAGGGAGCTAGAGCAACAGATATTAAAAAAGCAAGAGATATTAGAGTTCGAGCTTTTGAATTCCCGACTTTTGTAAGATAGTTACATGTTATAACAAGGACCAAGAAAAACATGTTTCATCAGTAGGGTTGGGGTTTTCGAGTCGGGCTGACGTTCGAGTCATTTTTTTTCGGGCCGGCATGACCGAGCGTTTTCGGGCCAAAATTCAATGCCCGACTTGATCTTTCGGACAGGGCCGGATCGGGCCTCCAACCCTATTCATCAGACATACCAGGTTCAGATCTAAAAGGTTCTACTAATATCAGTTAAAACGCTTCAAATATATTTCACCAAAATACCTAAAAAAATTCTTACCATTTTCAAAAACCAAATAGCTTTTTGAATCGGCACTCCTTTTTCATATAATAAACTCATTGCCTCACATAAGGGAACCGTTTTTGCAGAAGCTAACGAATTTAATTGATCATAAGAAGTCCGTAAAAATCTTGGAAAACAGGCTGCTAATGAATGCCTTTTGATATCTTTTAATTGAATTCTTTTTCCAGAAACCAAAGATTCAAAGAATTCTTCTCGAAAACAATCAGAAATAAATCCACGAACATTATTTTCTTTTATCCAATTCTTGTCCAACCAAATAACATTGAGTTCATTCTTTTTATTCATTACTTGTTTGATCCACCGAGCGGCACGATATAGTTGATCGTCAGTCGCAAAAATTCGGCTGGTCTAGAATTTGAATAAAAAAAATAATCGTAAAATGAACAAATCTAGATTCTAAAATTGTAAAAAGTAACCCTCAAAAAATAACAAAAAGTATAAATTCGGGAGTAAGATTGACAAAATTCCAAAAAATTGATTTTATAGTTCTGTAGATTCAAGTTTACTATGAAATGTCAAAATATCGACCAAAAGTATTCTAGAGAAGAGTTACGAGAGAAAGGCATGAAGGATGCATGCCGGTATATAAGGAAATTTATTCAATTTTTGCAAGGAAATATTCAACTTTTGCAAGGGCGCAATAAGTACCTGCATGCAAAACTTTACATTGGATTCGAAAAAGTCGAATATCCTTAAATTTTGGTTCAGATATCGGCCCCCTAACCGTATATTTCCCAGGATTCACTAACCCTAATCTACAAGGACCCTACCTGTCAGATAACTTACATCAACTAAACATCGACTATCGTCGGGGATCGGGGTTTGCCGGGGTAGAGCCTTCGGGTCGAGGTTTTTGCCAAGAAATAATCGGAGTAGGGTCGGAGTTTCGGGGGTGATACTCTAATTTAAACTACAAACCTTCATAAGTGATTCATATTCATGCCTAACCAAAACACTGTGAATAACTTCAATTTGATAGCCCTTAACAACCCGGTCTGGGCCCAAATTATCTTCTTCTTGCTTTTCTTGTTGAGGGAATACATCTGGATGCATAATAGCAACAACTCCACTACTTTTATCAGAACCACCACTTTGTCTAAATGAATCGCTTTTTCTGTTGTGCCTTTTGAGTGGCCGAGCATCGGGACTGAGTTGGTTGCGATTTTGTATTCGTTGAAAATATTGATGCATGGCGAAACTTTTGGAAAAAATTTAAGAAAAAAGTGAGAATAAAAATTTAAAAAAATAAATTTGAAATTGAACAATTTGAAAAAATCAAAATTGAAATCTAAATTTTTTATTTAACTATTTTTACAAAACTAAAATTACTATAAAACATTCCTCGTAATATTCTCATTTACAATTTAAGTTACATGTTGATCTTTTTTTCCAAAATTTGTTTTTTAGACCTCAACACTCTTAAATTTTACAAAAACATATCAAATACAATCAACTCAAAACAAAAAATAATTTCTTGCTTGATATACTTTTTGGAATATTTATTGAATTAATGTAATTAACACCCGTATTTTGTAAAATTTATGAGATGTTGAGGTTTAAAAAACAAATTTGAGAAATAAATTTTGAGACCAAAAAGTTAGAGATAGGCCTGGGTGGACCAAGACTTGAGTTTTTCCTGTACCCAAAGTCCAGGCCCAGGCATTTTTCGACCTTTCTGAGTTTTTCCTGGGCCTGGGTTTTTCCTGGACTATAGGCCCAGGATCCGGAGCAGGCCAATAAATCAAACCAAGGAACAGGCCCAGGCTTTTCAAAAATTTCGATCTCTAATAAAAGTAGAAAAGAAAATATTATATAAAAGTTTTTGATTAATTTAAAAGTTAATTAAAAATAAAATTAATTTTTCTCAGCATTAACATTCTTAAGCACATGACTAGCAATATAAGGGGCATCGGTGAGAAAAGGAATTTTAAGCTCACGAGACATCCAAGCCTAAATTTTGTTTTTTTATTAAAGCAAAATTAAGTTTAAAAAACCATTTCATTGCGTTCATTGACAGTCCAAGCACAAACTTTAAATCCACGAGCTGTCATGTTTTTCAAATAAAAACTAAAAATAAAGGTCAAAATCAGATAAAACGAGAGGAATTATAAGGTTTTTTGGGTATTTTAATTGAGAGTAGAATCGGCGCAGGTCTAGTTTATGCGTCCAATCAAAAGATAATTGAATTTTTCTTGGTGTTGTAAAGTTGGGGTATGGTTTCAAAACATTTCTTCATGTTCGGGACCTACGCCCATTTGGCCTGGGACCCAATGGGCGTAGGTTCTGAAGCAAAATTAAGAAGAATATTTGCGAAGGCTTTACCCATTACCCAACCAAAACAAATTAAAAAATTCAAATTCCGAAAGGAAACTTAAAAGACTTTTTTACAAAAAAGTTAAAAAGTCAGCCAAACAATTAGAAAATAGAAACTAACGGTGAAATTTCTCGTCGTTCAGTAAGCACCATATCAACGCCAAGAAATTCCGGAATCCACAATTTAACACACCAAATCCAAATAACATCCAAAATCATCGAAATAAAAAATATTAATTTAGAGGACGAACGAGGCACAGTAAATTCAATATCCTCATAGGTAATGAACCTAAAATAAAGAAAAATGAAGTAAAAATCAGTAAATAATAAATTTAATATACCAACGACGCCAAGTAATCCCTGAACATATTGCCAATTTTTAACATAAAATAAAAGGGATTTAAAAAATAAAAATACCCACCAGTTAGAATATTTGGATTTTCCTTTTTAATGCGATAGACGACAGTCGGGAAGAATGAACAGACAATTGCTTTGTTGTAAAGATTGTAGCGTTCAAAAAGGAGGGCAATAAGCTTCACTAACTGAAAATTTTTTCAAAATAAATTTAGAAAAGAAAATTAGAAAGACGATCTAAATAAAGGGACAGAAAAAATGGACCCTATCCCAAAAGAAGGGCGGACACGGACGGACTCGGGTCAGAAGGCACGGACGGACTCGGACAGGTGTCCGTATTTGGTCTGACCCGAGTCCGTCCGTGTTTTGTTTGTCCGTGTCCGCCCGTCTCATTTTTTCTTTCCATTTTTCTCAATTTTTCCTTTGCATTTTTCCTTTCCTTGCAAGTAATGAAAAAAACGATTCCGCCCTTCTTTTGGGATAAGGCCGAAAAATGTTACAAAATTTGGTATTAAATTTTCGTTAATAATTTCAATTAAAGATTCCAGTGAGAAGATGCGGGTTAACACTCCTTTCAAAATATCAGGTATAAAATTAAGTAAACCTTAATTTCTGTATCCTTTACATCGAAAAGCATTTTCACGTTATTTTTAATTGACCATTCAATTAAATTCTCTAAAGTACAGATAGGCTCAAAATTGGAAGTGACGTCTTGGCTACCCAAGGAACTAAAAAAAATTAGAAAAGATATTATGACTAATTTAGAAAGGGACTTTTGGGTTATCCAAAAACAGTTTTTGCAGCAAGTTATGCAGACACATTTATGTACGGAAAGGTCAAAGGTGAAACAGAGAAAATTGAGTGAAATTTGGAAAGAACATTTGAACTTTCCGTACATAAATGTGTCTACATAATTTTTTCCGCAAAAACTGACTTGGGATAACCCATAAGCACCTTTAGAATATTGAACAAAAAACTCAATTTTTAAAAAACCTAAATTTAGCAGCACAATTGCACTTTTCCAATTCAACAAAATTAAATTTATTTAATGGCCCATTCATATTTGTTGTTCTATCGAGATCATCATCGTGCATTAAAACCGGGACAAAATCTTTGGTAAACCCAACATCGAATTCAATTAAATCAACCCCTTCCTTTTTTGCCTGTTCGAAGGAAGCGAGAGTATTTTCTGGAGCATTTAAAGGACTGCCTATGAAGAAATAAAAAAAAATAATTTTTAAATAAAAAAACCTCTATGACCACCAAAACAAAATCCTTCAAAAAAAGTTGAGACCTAACAATAAAAAGAAAATTTAAAAATATTTAAAAAATTATTTTGGGTAATATTGAACCGGACAGACACCCTTTTTCCCTACCCAATTTTCCCCTTATATTTTTGTAAAATAGTCCTACTTTTTCCTTTCTTCCATCCAAATTGCCTTTCTAATTTTTGACTACAATCAAACGAAAGGGATTATTTTTGATATTTTATTCCACATTTTTCCTCCATAATTTTTGAATGGAAGAAAAGGAATTTGGATGGAAGAAAGGAAACAGTCTTACCATTTTGCAAAAATATAGGGGAAAAATTGGGTAGGAAAAAAGTCTCTCCTGTTCAATATACCGTATTTCCTAAAATAGTACTCCCGGGAGTACTATTTTTCAACCCTCCTCCAAAGGGGAGTACTATTTAAGGGGGGAGTACTAATTCAGGGGGGAGTATTATTTTTCAACCTACCTCCATGATTTATCTTAGGAAAATTTGTCTCAAAATTTTAAATGTTTAAATCAATTAGAGTTCGTAATTTGAAAAATGCCGGATCCAAATTTGGATTTTCAAGAAATGTGGATTCCAAATTAGTATAAAATTGAGCAACTTGCGAGACTTTTAAACACAAGTGACTTAAAATAGGGTTATTGAGGGAAAGCAAAAAGGATATTAGTGGATTTGGAGTGATATCCAGGGGTATAATGGGATTTTAAGCGATTAAGAGATATCGATAGATTAAGTTGGATGTCGAAAAAATTATCAGGATTGAGAAGGATATTGACGTTTTAGCGGATTAGTAGGGATGCCAGGTAATTTTTGATTAAAAGCGATATCGTGAGATTTGAGGGGATAAAGTTGATATTAAAATGATAATAAAATGATTATCAATAATAATAAAATGATATTAATAAAATGATTATCAATTAATTTTTTGGGATATAGTGGAAATATCTCTGTCTAGGAATTTATCAGGGGGTTAACTAGTCTCGTGTGTATCCCTCTATTAACTAATCTCATAGGGTTAACTAATCTTGTGTGTATTCCCCTCAAATCCCTTCATCAAACCTTAATCCAATGATATCTTTTAAATCCTACTTGATCAATCCAGAACCCATTTTATCATCAGATATCAATCCCTTTATATCCCCCAAAATCCACTTTTACCCCACCAATTAACCGGATTGTATTTCTTTAATCTCCGAAAAATTTTAGGTTAAAATTTCAGTTCGTTTTCGGTTAACCGAAGGCTTTCCGGTTTTGTTTATAGGAGAATCAAGTGAAACCGACAACGCTACTTAGAATAAATAAAATAATTCAATGAGTCTCTTTTTATTTTTTCAAATATAGGAGAAAAATTTTTAGGGGGGAGTGCTATTTTAGGGGGAGTACTAATTCAGGGGGGAGTACTATTTTTCAACCCTCCTCTAAAGGGGAGTACTATTTAAGGGGGGAGTGCTAATTCAGGGGGGAGTACTATTTCAGGAAATACGGTAAACTATTTTTCTTACATTTTTTGGATTTGCCCGTAAATTTCGAAAAAACATAAATGAGCCAACTAAAAGTGTTAAAATGTGTAGAAGTGTTTTCCAAACTAAAAAAAATTAAACGGATTAAAAAATAGAATTAAAGCAAACCCAAACTAAGCGAAGAAAATGGCCATTGAAAATAATAAACACCAAATACAAAACAATATAAAAGAGTTGGAAGCAATTCTGGCATCTTCTATCACTTTTTTCTCCGGATTTATACAAACAAACAATAAACGGATAAAAGATTCTAACTTCCAAATAATTCAAGATTTAGGTATTCAATTTAACGCAAATTGACTGATACTCAATCGGTTCCCAATCAATTTTCGAGACTCAACTGTCGACTCAGCTGGAATACAGCCCAAAACAACGCGCGGGCATAACAACGCAAAGCCATAACTAGCTGGAAAATTTCTGGCCCTCATCAATTTTATTATCAATCTCTTTAGCTCGATGAGAGGAATCGTCTAATACTAAAATTGTTAAGATTCGGAAATCTTGAAACAAGTTATGGCTTTGCGTTGTTATGGGCGTGTCCCACACAGCTGATTCCCATATTTTCCAGCTGATTTTTCCGGGGGGTTTTACTAGGTTCTTAATTTTTACTAGAAATCATTAATCCTTAAAAACATACTTAAAAAAGTTTAAGGACCTCCAATTTAAGCAATAAAATAAGCTTGTTAAAAAATTTTTGATAAAAAATTGATAAAAATTTTTTTATTTTAGACAATTTACAAAAATGATTTCTGATGTATCAACGGTATCTAATTAAATACCTAATTTGTTAAATAAAAATATAATAAATTTTTAGTTTCAATCAATTACTTGCAAATTAGAATGGAAATTGTATGATTTAGATAAACATGAACAATTTATGCAAAATGGCCAATATTTAACGAGTTTGTTTAAATTTAGGGTACTCCGTTATCCCTACCTTTTTTTGCGGACTTTTTTTGCGGACAATTTATTCCTTTTGCAGTCTGTACATAATGGTCGGACTACCTTCTTCCTTCGTTTGTCAAGCCATCAAACAAAGCAAAGTCCGCAAAAACGAGTAGGGATAACGGAGTATACCAAATTTAGTTTTTAATTTCTAATTCCAAATTTAGGCAAACAATTTTCCAATCCAAAATGCCCTTCTGTTAAATGGGAATTGCGTATTTATCCAAATACTTATCAGAATAATTCGGGTTATTTTTAATACTTTTATTTTTAATAGTGACTGGTAAACTCGATTTTTTTTGACCCGGATTCCGGATTTGCATTTAGAGCCGGACCGGATCCGCCTGGATTTCTCCGGATTAATACGGTCCGGTTTTAATCCGGAAATTTCGAAAAAACCCGGATTTGGGACCCGGACTTCGGAAAAATCCGGCCGGATCCGGTCCGGCTCAGGTCACTTATTTTTGAATTTCAGTCAACTTTTCAGGCATTTTTGTTTCGCTTGTTCAAGTAGGTAACGTATATACCCCGCCTCATACAACTCCATGTACTGTTAAAGCTAAATTTAATATTTACACATTGGATGATGATGGAAATAAAATTTTTTGTTGTCCGTATGTCAAAAATTTATTTTTAATTTTTTTAAATTTAAATTATTTATAGAAGCACTTTTTCTGTTTTTCAATACAAAACAGAAACAAATAAATATAAAGTTTTCAAATCACAAAAGACGGACAAGTCTGACGACATTTTAGAGGAAGGAATAGATTACATTTTGGTGAATGACTCGACAGAGGCCTTAAATTTAGGTTATTTTTAAGGTAATTCTTCGGATTACGCCCCCTTTTTGTTTCCCTGACCATTTTGAGCTTTTTTGCTTGAAAATAAAACATAAAAAAGGGAGGGGGGGGGGGCGTCATCCGAAGAATTACCATTTTTAAATTTCCGTGGGTGCGGAACAATATGTATTTATTCGTGATGTTCGGGAGCAGAAAAAACCCGGGAAACGGGAGTCGGGTCTGGAAATGATTTCAGGAGTCGAGATCGGGATACCGAACATCATTAGTATTTATACAACTAATACTAAACTTGATAAGATGTGCGGACACATTTTGTGTATGTTAAAATGATCTAGATTGATATGTGATATAATAAATTTATAGATCCATTTGTGCAAAATAATTCACACATTAAATCTTTTTTGCATTAAAATACACAAAAAGCATTTCAAAATTTATGCCCAAACAATTTAAATTTTTATTTAATTTTTAGATTTTCTGTTAATTTTTTGTGAAGTTGAATTTGTTCCTTATGATTTAAAATGCGAGAATGATGTTGTGAATTATTCATCTGGAGCTACTTCACAACTCTCTTTAAAAATGTTTAAAGAGGGAATACTTACTGATTGTGTTATCGAGGTTATTTTAAATTGTTTATGAAAAAATAGGGGGTTTTGGCAGGCCCGTAATCATGATTTTTTTCGGGAGGGTCAGAGACAGCATCATTTTCGGTGCCGAATTTTTTGCTCTGATTTGTGAGTGAAAGGCCGTAGGCCAAAAAGTTCTTCACTTTTTATCCCCATTCCCTCCCCAGATTGTTTCCTTTTTCCCATTTTGGGAGGGGAGGGAGTGGAATTCCCTCCCTACCCCTTGGGTACGGGCCTGATTTTTGACATTCTAATAAATATTTTAGATTGGAAACGAATCAATAAATACACACCGATTTATTTTGGCTAAAAATAGTGTTGTATTCCAAAAAATGTTTGAACAAATGGGAATGACTGAAGCACAAAATGTAATTTTATTTAAGAATGTTTTCTCTTTTGATTTTTATAATAAATTCTGGGGAATTTTTAAATTAAAAATTAGGCATATTTGGGAACATTTTAAAAATCGGAAGAAAGGTCTGAAAAATGTGTAGCAATGCCCTTTTCTTAAAGTTTTCTCTTTTATTTTTAACTATTAAGTTTTTATGTATTTCTTTAAAATTTTAAGGGTAAAATAAAAATTGTTGATTCTTCTCCAGAATGTTTTAAAGCAATGCTGGAATATTTTTATAGTGGAGAAATTGATAAAAGTATTTTTTAAAAATAATTTCTTTAAAATTAAATTTTTAAAGAAACAATTGAAAAATATTCGGAAGATTTATTTTCTATTGCACATAAATACGAAGTAAAACAATTAATGCAAATTTGTGAAAATTATATGGCTGCAAATATCGGTAGACAATAAAAAATAATTTTAAATTTATTTTTTTTTTATTTTAGTTGCTGAAAACTTTGGGAAACTCTGTCTTTTTGCCGAGTTTTATCATCTTTCTAAACTTGCAAAGGTAGATTATTTATTTTAAATTTGCGGATAATTTAAAATTTGCGGACTTTATGAAAAATTTGGTTAGACTGCTGTCCTTCGATCCAGGGCTCCTCTCCAAACTGCGGCCTATGTAATCCGAGCGGTCATCCAACCAAATTTTTTGTTTATTAGCAACCGATTTTCTCATTCCCTTGCTCTTAATTTTCTTCTTCACTAACTACTTAGCGACAACTTTGTGGATTCCCTATTACCTTAAATTATATCTTTAAGGAGCATTTAGAAAACGTTTAAAGTTTCTAAAAAATCATGAAAATTTTGGTGGATATAAACATTTTAAATATTCCAACAAATTCTACAGGCATGTATTCACTTCCTTTCTGCTAATAAACAAAGCTTCCTTGTCAGTAAAGAATGGAAAGAATTTAAATCTCTTAATAAAGAGTTTGCTTTTCGTTTACTCGAGGCATCAGCTTTAATCGAAGAAAGACAAATTGAAAAGAAACAAGTTGTTAATAATTATGTTTGCTCGAATTGTGAACAACTTTCACCTCGTTTTACACCTTAATCGCCTCGTTTTCATGCTTGTTCACCTTCATATATAGACCTACATGAAAGTAGGTACTTCTAATATGCTCCTCTCTATTGCTAACAAATAAGCTCTTGTTTATCTTTCAATTTTAACTTCAAATAATTTTTCTATAAATATTTTTCTTAGTGACTAAATGAAAGAAATGAGTTAATATGTAACACTTGTAGTCCAGCATTTTAAAACGATAGTAGACAATATACAATTATGTAACTAATTATGCGTTAACACAATTTATAAATGTGATAAAGCATATTTTTCCTGTAGCAAATGCATATGAATAGTATGTATACTTTCTACCTTTATAGTCGTTGCATAATGGATTATTATCTTCTTTATATTTATCAACAAATTTTATTTTTTTTAATTTGATAAGAAAATAACCTATTAACATACTAGTAACCCTATTAACGGAAAGAAAGCTCAAATCATTTCATAATTATGTGTCAAGTTCCTTTTTCATAATTGTGAAAACTTTCTTGTCAGCAAATAATGGATTGGATTTAAATTTGATTATATATTTGATGAAATTTTTAACTTTAATTAGGGAAAAGTAAATTGTTTGGAAACAAGTTGAAAAAAAACTTATTTGAACAAACAGCTGGGGTTTTATGTTCCTGTAGCGGATGCTTTACCTTGAATAATGTTATACTTCTACCTTTACAACTACTATCCAAACATATCCACTAGCCCTCGCTTTCGTTGAAAATAAACGAATCATTTTAGTATTTTTTTTCCACGGATTTCATTTGCAATTAAATTTTGTGAAAATTAAACCAAGAAACATATGAAAAACTTATAAAACCAAATAGTTTTAAATATATATACCGTTTAAATCCATCAAAAGATTCATGATTTTTAATTTTTTGATTGAAAAATATGTTTAAAAATTTTTTAAAAAAGATTTAACGTTACAGAGACTTATAAAATCAAATTATAGAAATGCTCTTTCCGCCTTTAACTGGATCTTTATTTTTTTTCAGGCATGTGTTAACTTCCTTTCTCTTAACAAAGTCTTTCTTATCAGCAAACATTGGGATGAATTTAAATCTCTTAATAAAGATTTGGCTATTCGTTTAATGGAAAAAAATATTTTTGATGGAAAAGGTAAAAACATAATGTAGATTTTTATTAAAAATTCCAATTAATTGATATTCACTATTTTTATGATTCCGTAATCTTTTGATTAGAACTATTTTTTTAGTTTTTAAAACAGTCAAAGATTCTGAGTCAGTCATTCACTTACTACTTGTTAGAATTTTTTAATGTTTTGTCTTTGGTCCACTGTCACAACTTTGACTTTTCAGTGTGTTAAGACTATACGAGTGACTAGTGATTCAGGTATAAATTTACCATAACTAGTCTTGGAGAAATGTTGGTCTTGGACAGCTCTGTAAATGTTCTTAAATAAAATTTTTAGGATTCCCATTTTGTATTAGAGATTTCGTATTCGAGCTTTATTCCGTTGAACACACTTAAATAGTTGTGGCATTGTACCAAAGACAAAATATTAAAAAATTCTAGCGAGTCATGAATCCACTATATGTATGTGGATAACTTTGCAATATGTTAATTAGTGCCTCATTTCTTTTAATTTTTAATTAAACTTTCCAAAAAAATTATTTGAGGCAAGTAAATTTCAGATTCTTCAGACAAGAAGAAAGAAAGTGTTACAGTTGGGAGCATAAATGAAGACCAGGTAAAAAATAAGTCGGATTTGTATTTTTTGAAAGGAATCCCAAACAAGTTAATTCCCCGCACAGCATCGGAGGTATACTTGTAAGAATATTAACTGCAAATGTAATCAGTATTTTTCCGTTTTTTGAAATTATCTAACCTCGAGAACCGGGAAAACACTGGGTATCTTTATGAAAAATCTAGAAATGGCCGCGAATGAAAACACAATGCATTTTCTATTAAAATTTCAATTTTTAAAGTTAAAAACGTTGGAACAAGCTTTTCAAACAACTTGTTACCCCGGCGTTTGTATGAGAACCGAAATTGCTCAGAACATTGGACTGTCACAAAGAGTAGTTGAAGTATGGTTTCAAAATAGAAGACATAAGGAAAGAGAAAGACTTCCTAAAATACAATATTGCTGAAGGGCATTAAAATATTATTTTAAAATTCCATTTTGATTTAATCTCCTTAAATTTACACGAACTCATTTTTTAAAAGTTTTGGTCGAGCAGATCAAGAAAAGTGTTGTTTTAATCATTTTATTCTCATTTATTTTTGCAATATACAATTTATTTAGTTATGTTTTTAATAAAATATCTGATTCTTGAACTTCTCATTACAGATACCGTATAACCTGTATTAATTGCCCTCCATCGAATAATTACCCCACTTCCATTAGTTACCTCGTCCATCGAAGTAACAATAATATAATTACCCTCAATAATTACCCTCAACAAATGCCCTAAAATATGTTAAAATTTCAAACCTCGTATAATAACCTTCCTTTGATTAATTACTCCCTCCAGCGGAAGGTCGAAACAATAATTACCCTGGGTAGTTATTAAAGGATATACGGTAGAAGTAAAAAGGGTTGCTTCAAGAATTGATATTTAGAGAATTTATTGTGGATGTATTTGTGAAGAGCGATTAAAAACAGCATTTCGATATGGGGTGTTTGTTAAAATACAAATAATTGGGTTAAATAAGGGTATTAAATGAAAGGAAATGTGAAATAATATTCGAATAATATTTGTTATATTGTTGTTGGTTGTGGAAGTAGTTATATAAAATAGACTTCCAGCTTGATTAATAAAAGGTATAATTGCCTAAAAATTAATTGAAAATATATTTTTAAGACTTAGCTCTCTCTTTTACATAATTTTTTAGAATGTATATAAGAGAAAGGGTTATTAGAACATTTGTTTAGTGTCAGGTTCTAATCCAAATTTAAAAACGCAGTTTATTTTTGACATAAATGGGAAATTCAACCTTTTTCTCATTTGTTTTGATTCGACAAAATATAACCCGTATTTGACCAAAAACAGAACCGAAAACCGGGGTACCGGTTAATAGTAAACAACCCTAATTTGTATGCCAAAAAATCTTACCAAAATAATCAAAACTTTTGTTAAAAGTTTATTCAATCTCTTTAAATTTTCATTCAAATTAGTATTTAAATTGACATATCTAACCATTTTAAATCCACAAAAGAATAATATTAAATAAGCAGATATCTCAACTAAAGCCATAGGTAAAAGTGACAATACATTTAACTTTTTTTTGAAAATATTTTACAAAAATATAAATTTAATTTAAAAATTACCTTATCCATTTTATATTGAATAAATGGCCAGGTTTTGTTGAAATTATCAAAATATTTAATACCTCCATTAGAATATGGTATAATAAAGAAATACATATCCAAAACATAAAATAATGTTACAAATAAAGATATGGACACCATAAATAGATAACGACGGAAATTAATTTTCTTATTCCTAATAATGTTTATTTTAGGTACTTTTTAATATATTTATTTATTTACCTATTTAAAACTAAATATCTATAAATAAATTGAACACACAATCCATGCATATTTACATTAGAAATAAATATCCAAACTACAAAAACAATATGACATAGAAAAGGGTCAAACTTTTCTTCCATAAACCAGATCAAAATTCCATTAGGAAAAATCATAGTTGTATTCCCTTCTGTATCAGTTATATAATACTATAATATTTAATTATAAAATTATGTGACTTTAAATTGTGGGGTTTTGTTCTAAATAAATTTTGGTTTTAGAGTTAGATATGTATTAATTTACGTATGGGGTCAATCCAGTATATCGAGTTACCTTATATATAAAATCGCCTTATATCAAATTACCCTATATATCAAAAGCATGTGATCAACATAAAATTTTTTAAATTTTATAATTATGTATTCCAATGACGGGGAGGTTTGTTCCAACACCGGGGAATTGTTCCTATATCGGAATAATCTTCAAATTGAGCAATTTGTTTTAATGATAGAGTGTTGGTTAATTTTGTGTTTTAAGTCGATCTTGAAACTTTTTGATCTATCACTATGGTCTTTTCTATCAAAAATTAGAAATTCTCTAATTGATCACAATCATTTAATCTCTCGGTTGATCACTCTCTTGATTGATGCGACGTTTGATACACGTCGATCACATGCTTTCACTACAAAAAACAACCCTACCGATGTTCTAATATCACACAATTTAGCTTTGAACAACATAAGAATAAAATTTTATAATTTGATGTAGATTATATGCTTTTGATATATAGGTTAAGCGCTATAAAGGGATTCGATATATAGAAGTGGACTTATACATATAGCGGTGGTCCTTTAAAATCTGATTTTTAATTTTAGTTATTCTATGTTATATTCCCCCTAAAATCTTTTTAATTAATTGCCGACATTAATATTTTTTGTTTTAATTACCCCTTCAATAAACAATTGAACTATCAACATTAAAATATCCAAAACACAATTTTGTATCAGAATTCGACTGTGTGTTTTCATTTCTTTTGGTGTTTTAAAAATAATTAAAACAATCAGAAGAATATTTAAAGGAAAACCAATTAATAAACAAACAAAATAATCTAATTTAAATAAAATATCAAGTATATCCAAGGACATTTTTGAGGGTTTTTAATAGAGAATGCTAAATTTTTAAATGTTTAAAAGAAAAAGCCGTCTAATTTCAATACTTTCACAGTAGTTATTTAAAAGACAAATTAATAATATGTTAAGTTCTTTTAATTTTTTCTTAACTGCCAACTGAAAATTAGCGAAATAAATGCCTTAACATTTATTTTACTTTAAGCTACACTAGTAATTTTAAAATTCGTTTAAATAATGTTTATCTTTTTCTTTTGATAAATTTAAAATTACATATTGAAATGTGGCAAAAATTTTAATGAAATTTTCTGATCGAGTACAAATTTACCTAGTATATACTAGAGATCTAAACTATCCCCCGTCAACGGGGGATACTGTTTCTCAACGGGGATGTTGTTCCGTCAACGGGTAAGTTTTCCTCTGGAGACGAAAATTACTAGCGGAGACGAAAATTGCGGTGACGAAAATTCCGTTTATTTCCTTGGTGACGAATATTCCGCTGGTGACGAAAGTTCCGAAAAGTCTTGGAGACGAAAGTTCCAGAGACGGAAATTCCGGCACCCGTTTGAAAAACTCTGAGCCGGAAAGTCTTCTTTGGAGTCTTCTTATCTAGAAATTTTAGGCGAAGATAACTCAATTTTGATATTAGTAATATTCAGACTTGGTAATGTACACGAATTTTGCTATCCGGATATATCCGCGGATATCCGGATATTGTCCGTATCCATTACCAAGCCTGCTAGCTGAATATACAATTTCCTAAATTGTTTATTCATGTTTCTAATAAATATTTGAGTATGGAGAGTATCCGTCATTGTGTTTTTCAAGAATCGAGATATAAAAAACATTGAATGAAAAATATCTAGGATTTTAAAATTTATTGTGGATGTACTTGTGAACGATTAAAAACAGCATTTCGATATGGGGTGTTTGTTAAAATACAAATAATTGGGTTAAATAAAGGTGTTAAATGATAATTAATTAAAATAAATATTCGAATAATATTTGTTATATTGTTTGTTTCTGAAAAAGTCATAATAAATATAACTCCAGCTTGGTTAACAAATGGCACAATAGCCTAAAAGGTTGTATTAAGGAAAATTAGAGAGGTTTTAAATCCTACCAAAATAATCAAAACTTTAGTTAAAAGTTTATTCAATCTTTTTAAATTTCCATCAAGATTAGTGTTTAAATTGACATATCTAACCATTTTGAATCCACAAACAAATATTATTAAATATGCGGATATTTCAATTAAAACTGTAGGTAATTGTGAAAAAGCATTCATCTTTTTTTTAAATTCATAAAAGTCAATTTAATTTTTAAAATTAACCGTTTCCATTTTAAATTGAATATACGGCCAAGTTTTGTTGAAATTATCAAAATATTTAATACCTCCATATGAAAATGGGATAATAAAGAAGTACATATCCAACATATAAAATAGTGTTACAAATAAAGATATGGACACCATAAATAGATAACGACGGAAATTAATTTTTATATTCCTTAATATATTCATTTTAGGAGAGATTATTTATACACATTTACCTATTCAAAACTAAATATCTATAAATAAATTGAACACACAATCCATGTGTATTTAAGACACCAATATATATCCAAAGTGTTATAACAATATAACATATAAAAGGATTATAATCTTCCTTCATTAAACTAATCAAAATTCCATTTGGTATAATATGAATTGTATTACCCTCAGTATCGAGTATATAATACTATAAATAAATATAAAAATGGGCATTAAATAGGGTTACGCGATATCCGATTCGAGAATAGTAAACAAATCCTGATACCGAATCTATTTCTGAATTGAACAAGATGGGGTAATTCCAAGGCTGGCCCCCCTTTTTTCTTAAGAATGTACATAATGGTCAATTAATAAATCTGTGTATTACCGACCATATTCTTATCTTGATAACATATAATCCTAACATATTTTTTTGCGAATGTTTTTAAATCAAAATTTTCTTCTAGAATTATTCGAATAATTTTTTAATAACTTAATGTTTTTTGTTTAATTTTTATAATTCTAATTTTTTATGTTTCTGACCGCTTGAACAAACGTTTGAACAATCAACATTAAAATATCTAAAACACAATTTTGTATCAGAATTCGACTGTGTGTTTTCATTTCTTTTGGTGTTTTAAAAATAATTAAAACAATCAGAAGAATATTTAAAGGAAAACCAATTAATAAACAAACAAAATAATCTAATTTAAATAAAATATCAAGTATATCCAAGGACATTTTTTTGTGGTTTTTAGTAGAGAATTTTTGTCAACATTTTTAAATAGTTTCTTTTCTTTAAATTTCAATTAAAAATTAGCGAAAATGCCTTGACTTTTTACCTCGAGAAAAACTAAATTAAAAATTCTGTATAATTTTTAAATAATCTTTATCTTTATCTTTTAATTAACAGGTGAAAATTGTTTAATTTTATATTAAAATATGGCAAAAAATTTTTAATGACATTTTTTGAAGTAAACAAAAGTGCCAATATTATATCATAAACACATAATTTACTAACGCCTCTGCTTTTGTCGTCTTGCGCTCTGAGTTCAATTGTTGTTAAGAAAAACGAATAATTCGAAAAAATAACAGATGTTGTTACTTTCAGCTTATTCTTTTTATTGTTACCTTCGCGATAAAGGATGCCTTTTTAATTAGTTTTTCTGTTGGTATGGACCAAGGCTAAATTTACCGCAAAGTTTCAAATATTTTTTTAAGAATTTACATGACTTTTCCTCACTGTTAGACATTAAAAAAGAAATCTAAAATAAAGATAGTGTAAGGTGGACAACAAAAAAGTCTTTTTAAAAAGCCCCTCGATTCTCATACGACCCTTCCAGTTCAACCTGTAATAATCTCAGTAAAAACGTCAACATTTATCTCTGCCCTTAATAACACATTGTAATGTATATCCCTTTCATAAGCTTAAGAAGAGGTTTGCTGAATCCATACCCAGTGTAGAGCCCAGGATAATAGAATATGAGGGAATACTAATTAATTACTGTTGTTTCATGAAAAATGCAGAAACATGTCAACTGAGATACGAATAGAGCTTTCGATTGGTATATAGAACGTATTTTTTGAATGAAAAATTAAGAATTAAGAAAAAATTTTCTAGCGCTTCCATACTTTTTTCCACGACTGTATATCCCTTTCATAAGCTTAAGACAAAATAAAGATGCAAATAGAAATAATAATTGTCTACCCTCAGATAATTACTACAACGCTTAATTGTCCTCTTCAGCGAAAAATCGAAAAATGATAATTAACCAGAGTAATTATCTGAGTAAATATAGTATTTTCAAATTTGTTATTCAATTATTGTGGATTTACTTGTGAACGATTAAAAACAGCATTTCGATATGGGGTGTTTGTTAAAATACAAATAATTGGGTTAAATAAAGGTGTTAAATGAAAGAAAATGTAAATTATTATTCGAATAATATTTGTTGTATTGTTGGTTGTTTTTGAATAAATTGCAAAAAATAAAATTCCAGCTTGGTTAACAAATGGTACAATAGCCTAAAAATTTAATTTTAAAATATATTAAAATTTCTAATGTCAAAAAACGTTAAAAATATTCTATTAAATCATTATATTGACGAAAAAGATAGCTAAAGCGCAGAATTGTTATTTTAAAGTAAATAAAAGGCAAAATATATTTTGAACCTATTTTTAAATTTTTTGAACCTAAATAGGATCATATTTCACCAATTCTCTGAACCCAAAAATATGCTCTACCTATTAGACCCCTATTATAGAAGCTAGAACTTAATTTC